CTATTATTCAACGACAAACTGAGAAATACATGGGCCATGCAATCAGGCCAATACATGATATAGAAAAAGACAGTATTAATATTGTGCTAATCAATAGTCATTCTGCATTTGACTCTGGGATCCCATTGCCGCCAAACGCTCTGGAGATTGCAGGACTGAATGCTCAGATCGTGCAACCGATTGCCGGCGAGGTAGTCGTAACGTATCCCGAGGTAAAAGCAATTATTCTTCTTATTTGAAAAGCAAAAATTGTAAAAAGGTATTTGCCAAAAACTGCATACTGAGGAAATGGAAATTTGATGAAATCTTGACATGAATTTAAATATAATATAATTATGGAACTGTTATTTATATTATAATATTATTTATATTATAATATAGTTTTAGCTATTCAGTAATTACTATTTGATTTTTTTTATTAAGCACAGGATGATTTACAATTATAGAGAGTAAATATTATGTGGCAAATTGCTAAATTTACAAACTTAAAATATTTCTTAAAATAATATTTATAAAAATTGATAAAGATTTTTAAAGAGAATGTTATATGAAGCTCATATGAATAAATTTGATAATGACTTTTTGTTTAAATAATTCGCTTGAAAGTATGCATTTCTATTTACGACTAGATATTTTGACAATAAGATATTTACGCTTATATATCGTATAATATTATCGAAATGTTTAGTTCACCATTATTTCGTAGAATATACGTACATTTCTTGACGAAGCAAAAAGTGGAGTTATCGTAATATCATTAGGAACAAATGTGAGATGGAAATTTATCGGACTAGATAAGATTGAGACCGTTATATTGGCTCTGTCAAAATTGGAGCAACGAGTGCTGTGGAAACTAGATATTAAAGTGCCATTTGAAATACCGAATAATCTAATGATTGTGAAATGGATGCCGCAAAACGAAATTCTGTGTACGTGATGTTTTGATTTTTATAAAAACACAAAGAACATATGAAATGCAGGATGTCCCGAAATTCGCGAATCAAAATAGCATAGCAAGAAAATCTTCAAAAAATGAAGTAAAAAAGTTATTTGTAAATTTTTAATTTAAGGAGTGGTTTTTGAGATATAAGTTTGAATTGAGTTTAAATTTAGCCATTTATAGATTATGATTAAACGGAAACATGTAAGCGCGTCGCTCGTATCAGTGGTTTATGCACTTCACGAGTACTAATCTATAATTGACTAAATTTAAATCTTATATCTCAAAAAATATTGCTTAAAATAAAAATTTACAAATAACTTTTTTATTTAATTTTTTGAAGACTTTCATGCTATGATATTTTGATCCGCGAATTTCGG